AGATGGGGTCCTGATTGGACAATAGTTAGCCAATCAGAGTTCTGATTTAGTAACAGTTTCAAGTTCAAGGTTGAGCTTTAAATGGTAAAGGATTAGCTCCCTTTACTATCACTTTCAAATTCTTATAGATATTTTCTTTTATTAAGACTTAAGATAATCTTTGTCTCTCATGAGTAAAAACACTCCTCAGTTAATAAAAGATACTAGAAATATATTCAATTTGTGCTTGTATGTTTTAACTTTTTTAACTATTTATTTGGGTTTGATTTCAGAGTTAAATTTTGTTTCGACATAAAAATTTTGCTTGAACTAAAACAGGATTTTTCTCTTTGTGGTGAGTTTAACAAATTAAAAGGCTAACTAAATTTTTAAAAAATTAGCTTTTACAAAATTTATTAAAATATTTCAAACAAATACTTTAACAACATGCACAATATGTGGGTAAATATTTACAGCTAAATAATCTTTTTTTTCCTTTTTCTAAATGATTTACCGACATATCTGAGCAACAAAAAAAAAAAAATATATTTAACCAAAAAATTTTTTAAAAGCTTTGCACATTCCAATCAACAAAAATAAAGACTTTTCAAAAACATATTTGAGCAAAAGCTGTAGGCAAAAAAACCCCGAAAAAACAAACAGAGTGGAATGTTAGAAAACTTTCACAATAAATACAGACAGTTATACTCGTCCTGTGTTTAATTGCAATACAAAATGGCTGCCTTTTCAAGAAAAAATATTTCCTTTACTCAAAATCTGTCAACTTCAAAAATAAAAAGATTTTGAAAAAAAAAAACAAGGAATTAAAAAGTACACAATTATTGAAAATGGTTTGATGTTTAATTTTTTGATGCAAATAAATTTAAAAACTAAAAAAAAAATCAGCCTGGTTTTCTTGTTTTTATTCGACATTTTATTTTATTTACAATATCCTCATCTTTGTTGTTATCACATTTTGGTCATTGTGCCCATTGGAATTTAGGTGCTTGTTAATCTGACTAATCTTCAAAGGATTTAAAACAGAACTACAGGGATAGATTGTTCCCATTATTTTTAGTATTGCTGAATTATTGTTCATCCAGTTTCCATTGAATCCAAGTACACACTACCTGGACATGGGATTGAACTCACAATTACAATGTTGGTAAATTCATGAAGCAACTAGGCTATTGTCTTGTGGAACAATTCTGAGTAGTAAATTTGGAGCCTTGAACATAACCTGCCTGTTGATGAGTGATGGTGCTGCTGCTCTTAGACTCAGTGGAAACAAGATAAGCAATAACTGAGCAGTACTACATAAAAACAGGACGAGATATCCCTTGACACAGACTGCAGAATAAGAATAATCTACACCTGTAGATCAAATAAAGAGTTTAGCTCAAAATTTCTGACTTGATAAGTACCTGATGAAGGTCAATGGGAACAATGGTTGAAACATTGTGGTAACACCAACAAAGATGAGGTCAATAGTTTGAATGTAAATAGTGATAATTCCTCACCCCAGAAATTCAAACAGAAATTTTTAAGTTTTGTCACCAAATTTCCTTTATATTTAAATATTTTGGATAAGTTTAAAAAAAAAGATTTTATACACGTGAAAACTCAAAACAATTCCCTTAACCTTTGGCCTTCTGCATTATTAATATAGTTCCTATTCCACAGAACATTCTTTTTCAAGGCTTCTCAGTTGCAGTATCCTTATTGTTAATTTCACTCAAAGTTGTTTTGTGTTGCCGTAGTAGGATATGACATCACAACCATGAAATTCAAATTCAGGAATCAAAGTCACCTTCAGTGACAGGATAAACTTTTTTCACAGCAAATGAAGTCACATACAGAGTGATAAAGGTTAAACTATAAATACTGATAAATTCAATAATGTGTTGATATTTACTCAGTCTTGTCTGGCACAAGGACATTATGTGAGGTCCAAACTCATTAACATTTACTTACAAAACAATATGTAACATAGCAGTTTTGTAGAATTCTTCTTTAGCAGACTTTTATTCATGTGAAGAAAAGAGAATTGAAAATAGACTTAATTCTACAGCCTCCTTTTGAAACTGTTTAATTAAAAATACAAAATGGCTGCAGTGATAAGAAAATTTCTTCTTGCTTCCCAAATCACAATGACTGTTTCTAAAAATTATGACAATGTTTGAATTTTTATAACACCCCAACCACCAAAAAAGGATTCTGGGATATGAACAGAATTCTTGTAACTGATATAACAGTAACAATTTTGAGAGACAACACTTTTATATGAATTTCTGAATAATATCTAACAGTTAAAATATAAAAAAAAATTTGTGTGCTTAATAATTTCTATAAAGAAATAAGCAAATCATCCAAAGAATTTTATTTCTTCTTCAATATCATTTCATATTTTTGACTAATTTTTACAGAGAAAAATAGTTTCTTTCTAGAAGTTTCAAATCTAAGGTCAAGTGACAAGTTTGTTATATTTAAAAAAACTGGTTTCATTTCTTTTTCTTCTCTTTGGGAATGTTTCATGGTTTTAATAAGAGACATTTATTCTTACATTTCACAGCTTCTAAAATTTTCAAGAAATAGTTTAGTATTTTTTATTTTTATCCCTTGATAAAGACAAAGCAAGAATGCACCCTGAATTTGCCAGAAAAAAAAAACATCACTCAAATTGTAAATCCCGAGAAAAAAAAAAATGCCAGTTTATATTCACATATACATTTGGAAAAATCATTCCTAATTATTTCTGACAATGGTCCTAAAAAAAGATTTGACCTGACCAAAGGATTCTCTCACAAGATTGATAGATAGATTCCATTCAGATCTTCAAAAGGAACTCACTTCTTTCTTATCTTCTTTAAATAATCTCCTTGTTAAGTTTCATTATATTTGAGTAGTGAGGTCAATCCTCAATGGGTGCACCATACTTTAGGCCTTGTACCACATCTAAGCTACACTTAGAAAATCACCATTATATTTTTTGAGGAGTCTATTTGTAAAGGATGACACCTTCAATATTATCACCATCTTCTTAAGTTCTATAAACAAATCTTGATGTTGGAGGGCCTATGTCGATATGGAATTGCCCATCTATTTTCTTCCCAGCTTGAGAGTAAAGGGAAGTAAGCAGTGTTCAGATTTTTAATTGCATATTTTGAAACTCACAAATACTGGTTTGGTTTGTTTTATGGCATATCAACTTATTGGGCCATTTAATGCCAAAATTTAATGTTTTTTTAAATAAAGTTTTGTGTTTAAACATCAAAATTTTTTTTTTTACAAAGTAAGACAGTTGTTAGTTACAGTTATTTTTTTTAATTTTATATTATATTTTTAAGTCATTTTAATTTCTTTTAGGAATTGAAATGTGTAAAAATGAATCAGTATTTTGAAAAAATTCTTTTAAGTTTCTTGCTTGGTAGAATTTTAAACAGATTGAATTAAAATTGCTGCAGTTTATCTGTATGTGTTTTATGGTGAATGGCTCTTGGCATGCCACACATAGCGGAGGATCTTTCTTTTTTAAAATATACAAATGGGTTATTGTACACTATTTACATCATTCGGACTATTCTCATCTTTGTCACCATATTTATTACAACTTTTCGACCGTTGTACACTCAAGCCTTCTTCAGGTGGTTGGAATGTCAAACTGAACCCTTTATTTCGCTCACTGGGGTAGACTGTTCTAGTTCCATGTGCCATCTCTAATGAATGTCAGTTATTAGTTATCTCCTGTTAATTTCCCTCTCCAAGTTCTCCACTGCCTTAACCGTTGTGAGTTCAATACCTGATTAAGGCAGTGGAGAACTTGGAGAAGGGAATTAACAGGAGATAACTGATATCCATTAAATATGGCACATGGAACTAGAACAGTCTATCCAAGTGAGCGAAATAAAGGGTTCAGTTCGACATTCCAACCACCTGAAGAAGGCCGTAGCGTACAACGACCAAAATGTAATAAATATGGCCGCAAAGATGAGGACAATAGTCCAAATAATGTAAATAGTGTAAATACCTTATCTCAGAAATATAGATAGATACTGAAAGGCCGAAATGTAATAAATGAGGCAACAAAGATGAGGACAATAGTCTGAATAATGTAAATAGTGTACATAATACCTCATCTTAGAAATATAAACTGGGTTATTGTAGTCTGCACAGATATTATAAATTATGTTATAACATGATCCATATGAAATCATTGACCACCAAAATGTCTAAACCTATTGAATTGATTTCATTTTAACAATTTTATTTATAACCTTTTATGGAATATGAACAAATCTCTCAAAGAAATTACTGCTTAGCCAAGCAAAAAAAAAAAAGAAAAGGTGCTGAGAAATGTTGGGTATCATTCTGAGTCTGATATCATTCTGAGTCTGACATTAAAAAAAAAAAAAAAAAACTTTTGCAATTAATAAAATAAAGCAAACGAGGGCATATGTCCGATTAAAAATCTATTTAATTATATTTCCTCTTATTTTTTTAACAAAAGAACAAATTGACACCCTCAGGATTACAGTCTTTAAGCTTGGTCTTTAATTGTGAAATCAAGATTCATACGTTTTTATAAGACCGTGAAACTCATTTTAATTTTACAGACAAGATTAAACACTTATAAACTATCTCAAAAGAAGAGACAAAACTGTTTTATTTTTTCACAAAGATTCTACCTTTACTAAGATGAGTTTACAGTTTAATGTGTTTTTATCCCCAAATTTTCTTAAATATTTGGTGATTTCGTCTGAATTTCTTGTTTGGAATTTAGGTTATTGCTCTATTCACACTGCATTAACATGAAACAAGATAAACACAGTGAATCAATGTTTATTGTTTTCTCCTGCAAATTTTGTTGAATTCAAAACAGATGATGAGACACGAACAAGAAATAGTGAAACAAGGGTATTTTTTTCTGAGTCACAGCAGATGGTGCATGATAAGAAGGCAATTGACATTTGTATTGAGTGCAATTAATAATCGAATCCGGAAACCTAATCCAAATTGCCTACCTTAATCCATGGATGATTCAAAGCATCATCAATAGTAATTCTTTTATCAGGATCCACATCCAGCATCTTTTTAACAAGATCTTTAGCTGATGTAGAAATGAAATCCCACTGCTTCGAGCGCATCTGTAAAAAGATAAAACTAAATATCATATATGGCTGAAAAGAGCAACAACAAAAAAATCCTGAGAAAAAAAGGCTTTTTCATATATTCCAAGGTCACCAATTTCAATAGAACCTTGAGATTTTGAAAAAAAAAAAATTGGTTTTTGAATTCAACACGTTTAGAAAGATTCTGCCAGTGAGTGAGTCAGCCATACCCAGTAAATTTCATTCCTTTACCAGTTTCCATTAAAGCCATAATCTTGAGTGTGTTCAAAATGTGAGTTTAGCATGAATTCAGTTGGCAGCAAAACGAAACAATCCAACATGCAAATTACAAATTGGAGAGACCAAAATCAAACAAGTACAACAATTTAAATATCTGGAACGTGTTTTATCAAGACGAAAAGATACTTAACTTTACAAATTTAAGTGCAATGCTATTCACTGAAATAGACATAAATATATGTTCTCTGCTAACAATTTCTTCTCACGCACTTCTCACCTGTGGAACTCTTTTATGGCTTTTAGCTTTCAAGTCAACTTTGATCTTCAAAAATTTAAATGCAATGTCACATATTATCTTCTGTCTTCTTAATTCCTGTTCATTTATTGTTCTCTATTCTTCAAAACATTTTCTTTTTCTTATATTCTTTTATATTCAGTAACCCCTTGCGTCTTAGTGGCTTTATTGCCTTGTTTGGGGTCAAATGATTAAAAAAAAAATGGGGGGGATTATTCAGTATTAAATAAAGGTATTTAATACTTTTTTTTTTTTTTTTGAGAAATATTTTTAGGTTAAAATATGCATGCCAAAGCAACTTGAAACTAAACATACTTCCATAGACAATTTTGGATGAAATTGAACTGGACATCTGTGCCACTGGAGAGAATTTCCGTTTCTGTCTGGCAATCTAGTACTGCTCTTAAATTTGTAATGTCTAGGTACCATAAGAGGTAAGTAATATTTATTTTGAAAATACAAAAATGTGGCACAAGGCCTAAGTGGGGAGGGGTAAGGGAAGGCTGGTCTTCAATCTATTTTATCTTAAACTTAGCTAGCCACAATTACTGACCCAAACATACCCCATCCAAACAACACATTCTTACTTACAATTCTTACTACAGTCACTATAATACCTCAAAGTGTCTATGAAGTCATAAGTAATTCCCATATGTACAATTTGTTTTTGGTTAATAAAACAACCCCCCCCAAAAAAAAACAAAAAAAAAAAAAAAAAAAAAAACGGAATATTTACAATGAGTACAATTTTATATACAAGAAACGAAACAGAAATAAAAATGGAGGCAAGTCCAACAAAACAATTACCATGAAAATATTTATAGAAAAGTCCAATAAAATTAGATATGACAATCAGATTTTTGAGTGAGGGTGGTTAAAATTTTTTTTTTCTCGTCTCAAACTTTTTTGATTATACTGATCAACCCAGGGTAGGGGTTGCCCAGACTGAGTGCAAGGAGAATGTATTATTCCAATGTCTTATCTCTCAATCTCTGTCAAATTGTGTGTGTACATTAAATAGCACAAGCACATATATATTATGTATACAAATGCAAAGTCAGATGCAGACAGTGTTTGATGGACAGAGAATTAGTTTTTCTTTTATAGCATAGACAGTAACAATTGTGATCCTGATGACTGAAAAGGATCAGCATCTCCTCATTAAAACATTAAAGAAATGTTTTATGAAACAAGCCTAAAAAATAATGTTTTATGAAACATGAAACAAGCCCCAAAATTTCATAGTAAGAAATAAATATCAGAAATTTAAAAAAAAAAAAGTAATCATTTAGAAAGGAGAATAACAATTGAATTTTATAAAAAAAAAAAAAAAAAAAAACAAGTTTAATGAAAAGTGAAAATTAGTCAAGATTTTGATTGATTTTCAGAGTAAAATAGAATTCATTGCACAAGAAAATTGATTACTTTTCTTGGAGTTCATAGATTTAGAATTATATCTATAGTGGTGAGAAGTCTTTGGTATTTGATGGAGGCTTTTGCTTGGAACTGAAAATGTTAAGATTTGTCATATTTTTAAGTTTGTGATATAAATGAATCTCATCAAAATGTTGTAAGGCAGGCTGAAGAAGTCATCCACCAAAATATAGAAAACTTGGTACTTTCATTGAATCAATTGAAGCATACTACTAGATTGGCAATTAGGTCTCATCATTTTACTGTAAGTTCCATTCAAATAGTTTCTTTTCTCACACTTTTCACCTGTAGAACTCTTCCAGTGTCTTATTTCTCTGCCAAGAACAATCTTCAAAAATTTAAATGCAACATCAATTGCAATCTTCTGTCTTTCTGAATCCTGTTCTTTTATTGTCCTTAAAAAAAAAAAATAAATAAAATATGAAATCAAAATGGATTGAAATATTTATCTAAGGAAATGTGAAACTATGATTGGGTTATCCTGCATGGAAGGCATTGGGTTGTAATTTTATCTCAGTTGCATCTTTTATGACTATCCATAAAAAGAATACCCGCTCGGCCCGGTGGCTAGGATCAAAGTGTAGTATCTGCGCTTTGTGAGCTGTCGGGTCGGGTGTCTGTTGAACTCTCTGCTTGCAGAGAGGAACCCGGACGAAGCTCCGCTGAAGGGTGGGGTTTTGTTCGGGGAGGTTAACCGGAACTAGCCGGCTTGGACGGGTTTAGATGGGTTTATTTTTGGCTGGGCCTACGGGCTCAGACATACCCACATTAAAAAGGCCTTGTGCCACATTCAATTCCTGTGGGTGAATTGATAAATACCATCTTTTATGACTATTGATAAAGTTTATGAAATGGCATTGTGGGTAATTCAGTTCGCCCATCGTTTGCGATGACTGAAATGGATTAAAGTGCTTGCTTTCTTTTCCAGTCCTCCGCTCTACCAATTGAGCTGTTGCAAGTGACCTCTTCCTTATTCTCTCGTTCTCATTAGTACGCACGTACGCTGTCACACCAACAAAAGTTCTGCCATCTTCCTCACAGACTCGCTATTTATGACTGCGTCGGGGGCAATTAAAATTTGCATACAAGACTTACTTCTCATTCACCTGAGACTTTCGATTTTATAAATTCAAACAGGTTTGAATTCTTAGTCTTTTTTTTTTTTTTTTGTATGTCTACCCACAAGATAGGAATTTTGGAACAATCTATTTCACTTTTAATGCCGGTTGGGATCTTTCAACAGGACCTGACCCGCCAAGCAAATTCACTTTGCGGGAGGTAAGTCTTCTAGTTCCTCACAGGCATCTTCAAAATGGCCATCCACTTGACCAAAAGAGAATAAGATAATAGATTAATCAATAAAAAATTTGGGGACAAGTGACAACAAACCGGATGGTGATGATTTCCAGTCACAGGCATATATTAACAGTCAAAGATGCAATTGAAGGAATATTGGATAACCCTTTCAGAGAGACTAACTGTTCATTAAGGTAGTTTCAATACTGCTTGTTAGAGTTGCCAACCACATATTATTGCTAATCATTAAGAGCAAGTCTGCATGACAGAGACTCTCTTGTGGGGTTACTCTATCAGTAGAGACTGAGTGAGTCTGTGTAATCATAGTATTCACAAAAAGCCATGTTTCATGCAAGGTTTTTAGGCAAAACATGACAATACCCATGTGCGTCAATCCTGCCTCCGGTTCAGATAGGCTCTGTGATTTCTTGTTTTTTCCTACTCTAAAAAGTGCTGTGGACAAGATAATGAATAATGTAACATGGCAATTGATGTTGATACCAAAAGAGGAGTTTGTTTTGAAAAATGGGATGGACATTGGGATAAATGTGTAAAGTCCTAAACTGAGTGCTATTATTTTAGGAAAACCATTTATTTTCCTGATAATATTAAATGGCTGGTCAGACTTTGTACAGACAGCACAATTACTATTGTGTCAAGTTAGTGCTTACTATCCATGAATCTTTTAAAACCCCTGACAATAGATAAGACAATTTTTTAAAACAAAATTGAAATACATTTACTACAACCAGTATTTAACCACTGACAACAATACTACTTTTTTCTTACAATTAGAATAACATGGCAGAGGTGGAATTGTTTTTCGTTGTGAAATTTTGAAAAAATGATAATCCTGTTTGTAGAGTGAGTAGCCATGGTTAAAGGGAAAATAAGTAACAAAATTATCCAACGAACAAAATTGACAAAGTTTGCAATAAGCAATAATAAGAAAAAAGAAAAGAATAATAGAAAGAAAGCAAATGATATATGCAAAGCAAATTAGCAGTAATAAGGCAAAGTAACAGTAATAAGGCAAAAATTTCACAAACTATGAATTGGTATTGACAAGCGAGGACAAACAAATGTGACATTCTGACTTCAAGACAAGACAGAGATGGACTGAGTCAGATGAAACCAAGAACCAGCCTATTTTATTGGCTAAGAAAAATATCCCAGAATGCATGTGTGTTTCTATCTATAAAATGGGGAGGGGCAAGTATTTTGCACTAATTTCCAGGTAGATTGGAATCAACATTGTTTATTTGTCAAAAGTACACAAATTTGTAAATAAAGATGTCAGGATTTAAAATTTTAAATATTATTTCTTTTTAGTAAACAAAAAGGAATAAAAAATTCTTAGCATCCTGCAATGAAAATAAATATAAAAATTTCAAATATTAGTTACTGGCAAGGATTCCTTCTGTGTACACAATATTTGTGGTTCTCTGATTGAAGTGCTTGGGGATCCAATCCAAGGATGACCGATATAGACCTGGTTATGGAAAAAGCATGTAAGTTTTCAGGCTTTGAGGCCATTCATCCTGAGAGACACTGCCTTGTTGATGGTCAGGTCAAAAATGGGGCAGTTGCTTTAGCAAGTTTGTTGGAATTACAGGGATGGACACATCCTTCTTTTTTACCTACCCTAATTATGAAGGTTAACATATGATAGTTCTATTGTACACTTTAGGAAGGTGGCGATATTTCTGAGAAACACAATAGGCATCACAACTTTTTTGTTGAAGCCTGCGAGGCAGAACATTATGAAATT